ACTTGGTCTAAATTTAGACGTCTAAACAAAAATTCATTTTGTGGTAGCCTGATTTTAGACCAGTCATCTAGGCTACATTTAGACGTCTATTAGACCAAAAAATGCTCAGCGGGTAACTTCTGAATGAATTTAAAATACATGTCTTCTTCTGCACATGATGTTCACATCACTTGGATGTTCCTTACGTATGTGCACTGCAAGTTTATGATGCATTTAAGTGATTTCATCCCAGTGTTTATCATAGATTTGTCATTTTGTTTATGAAGGGACAGGACAACTTCCCTGAGATGTATTAACTGGCGCATTGCATGTAGAGATTAATGCTTTATTTTTTTTTTAACTCTTGAGGCTTTTTGATAAATCCTGGAGAACGAGTGTGAAAGTGTTGACAGCATGGCGTGATTTAGGTCATGTGACTGACATCAAAGGTCCCGTGATGTGACGTTTGTGCATGCACACTGTGATATTTAAACCATATATTGTTCAGCCCTGGTTTCACATACAACTTGATTGATGCCTTTTTATTCTTCAAATGTGAACAATGGCTTGTAGATTTTTTTTTAGAGCTTTTGGCAACTAACAGGTTAAACTAGGAAGAAGCTAAAGGAAAAATTCTGTACGTGTTGACAGGTGCTATAAAATGCAGGTTTAATATTTACCTTTTTTTTTATCACAAGGGAAGCAAGGATGGTTCCATTTTTTTTTTTTTTTACGAAACTGGCTTGTTGATTGTATTCTGTTTTATCTGTCACATCTCCATCCTTGTTCTCAAATCACAAGTGTACCTTCCTGTAGTTCAGATCGATGCTGACTGATACAGAAGTCTAGAATAGTGTAAAACTTCATTTGAAAAAAGATGATTTACATTTACATTTAGTCGCTGTGATGACGCTCGGCTCAAACAACGTATCTCTTGGGAGAGCTATGCAATCTTCGTACACCCATAGGTTGTATCAAATGTCAATCGTAGAAAATATGAACCCTCTAATAACTTTAAAAAATGGAGTCCTACAGTAACTACATGCCAACTTCGCAAGCAGGGGAAAGAAAAATTATACTCTGTGTAATAAATTTCTAAAGTTTATCCACAGCTCCATAGGGATGGCTGGAGGAGGCAGGGTTTATGACCTATACTGTAGCCTGTCACTAGAGGGTGCTGTTCTGTTGGCTTCACCCAGCTAGGAGGCAGACGGCATCCATTCTATTTACAGTCCATGGATTTACATTTGTCTTTACTAATTATGCATCTATCGATCAATCGATGCCTATTTCCTTAATTTTGGGGGATCAACAATCGGCCAATCTTTCAAACTGATCTTACGCCCCAATATCTACCTATGCAAAAGTCTAAGAATCAGCCATTGTAGGATTTTGTAGACCCGCCCACCAGGTCACCTGTGCGTCAGCTGCACAGGTAAACACCAGTCACCCGCAGCGTGGTCAACCAATCATGTCATCTGTTTGGTAGTGTTACTCAATAAAAGGAAAAGAGCAAAGGTTCGCAGTTTGTAATTTATGTAAGAAATAAAAGGTGTCTGCTGCCAGTTATGAAAAATCTGTATTGGCAGGTCAGGCTTTTTAAAGATCGATGATCAGTGATTGGTGCACCCCTACATGTATTATTTTAAAGTAGATTGAACCTATGTGCTATTTGAACAAAATTTATCAAAATACTGCACTGATCTTACCCAGGAGAGTGAATAAGTGGTTTAGCTTACAGTAAGTGGATCCTTCTGAATCTGCAGCCTTCATTTTATCTCTCTCCTAACTCTTTTTCTCATCCAAACTGGACAAATTGTCTCATTTTCAGCTCCTGGAGTGAGAGTGTCTCTATCAGCTGCTGGAGGTAAATATTGATTCTGGATCTCAGTGGTGAACATGGATCCGACAAAAACACTTCACGATACAAGAGGCCGGTAAAACGAGCAGCTCATGTCTCGAACAGTGAGACTGAAACCCCACAGAAGTGTTTGTAGTATTTTCTTACAGAGGTGAGGGATATTAGCACCGTTCGTTCAGCTTGGTGAAGTTTAAACTCTGCAGAGTTGTATTGAACTGCAACAAAAGGCTTTCATTTAAAAAGTCATTAAGCTCCATCAGGCTGCAGCTCCTCAGATCAGTGTGTGTAATCAGAGGGTCAGAGAGTCCATTTCAGAGGAGGATCAGTCTCACTGTGTGCAGACAGGAAGCTTAATAAAACCTGTCACAGGTAATAACCTCATCTCACACTCGTCTACACATCACTGCTTTTAGTCTTTCTACGCCCTCTGTGTGTGTCCACGTGTGTGTCTGCGTGTGTGTGTGTGATTCCCCGATCCTTACATTCATTGAGCAGGTTTTCATGACTCAGCACACACAGCTGAACTTCATCACCATCGAAAAGCTCCGTTAAATGCTTTTCAGTTTAAGTACAGATAAGATAAAAATGGCACACCTCACAGAGAGATCTGCAGGATCATATTCAGACCCAGAATCTGGATACCAGTCCAGGTACCTGGTGCCAGAAGCTTTAAAGAGCTGACTCAGTCCTGCAACTAGCCAGCCAGCAGCTCATGGCCTGTAAAACAGCCTCACACTCCCGTTAAAACATCAGCACTTTCATTTTTTAAACACCAGATCCTCATTTATCAAACGATTTTTCAATGAAGTACAAAACACAAAATCAACACCGCTTAGCAGCCGAGGAGAACTAACCTTAGAGTGATAATATGTGAACCATGCCTCTGGATTACCTATGGTGAAAAATGATCCTTAAAAGCAGAGAAAAGCCTCCTGTGGTAGAGGTAAACTCACAAAATCATCAAAGTTTCCTCACTTCATTGGTTTCTAAGTTGTCAAGTAGTAATAGGATGAAAAGACAATGGAAAGTTAGAGGAAACGCTTTAACAAAACTGAGAAGTAGTCGGTTGAAGCTAAGTAAATAAAGAGGTGAATGGGGGGGAACTGTTCAACACTCTTGAGTCCATCTTTTCCAATTTAAAAGAAAGTGAATTCCTCTGGGGAGATTCAAGTCCTTTTTCTTTCAAAGAGTCCTTTGTACAGGGAAAGAGAGAGCTCAGTTCAAAGCCCTACCACCTGGAGTTAGTGAGATGATCAAAAAGGTCCTCGGTGGGCAGCTCACCATCTCTGTGTTTTCTTCAGAGGTCTACAAAAAAAACTAACCAATAAAGGTTGGACTTTTTTTAATCAATACATTTCTTTCATAGTTGACTATTTTTACATTACACTCAAAAACAATCACCAATCAGTTGTTTAAGTTTTTTTTTTCTTTTTAACCAAACCTTGTTGGAAAAACCATGCTTTTAGGTCAGAATAACCTAACTTTACTTTAGGGAGTAAGGTTATCTTCAACATATAAATTAAAATAAACCACCGTTTACAAAATGATTAGATGGAAAAAGACACAAAACTAATGATCAAAGTGTCAATACATAATGGATAAAGAATCAATTAGATTAATTCCTTCCCTGTTATAAAAACAGGCTTTAATTGACATTTTGTTAAAGGGGGTTTTGGGATTATGTTGAACTACAATTTCTAGCAAATCAAACACAAAATCCATGTGACTTAATCTTGTGTATATAAAAAACACCATCAGGGGTTATTTGAGTTTTCCTGAAGTTTGAATGTGATGAAGGGGAATGTGAAGAGGAACTAACCTACTGGACCACATATTTATGACCTACGGCTTAAGCTTTGATTGGGTTATTGATTAAGTGGAAATAAAATAAAAGGCATGAAAAGCTATGGAAAGCAGGGAAGCTAACACAAAACAAAAAAAAATATGCAATAAAAAACTATAATAACTAAATAAGGAGGTCTGGCTACAGCAGTTTGATTAGAACTTAAGCCTGATGACAACTGGCTGAGCTGTCAGCTGATATGAGCTAGTGTTTCGATCAACTGTTGTCCTGTGGACTAAGCTTGACTACCTGGCTTGCCTGAACTAACACTACACTCACTTTCCCACTGCGCAATGCGGCATGGAAATGACATCTATTTAACATATTTTTTGACAATGAGGTACAAATGTGGACGTCATTTCAACATCTAAAAGAGGTCCAATAATGACGTCTAAATCTTGGATCCGTTTTGCACGTTGTGCCGACGTCTAGATTTGGTCTTCAGATGAGGTCCAAATTCTTGACATCAGAGCCGCGTCTAAAAAAGGTCCAATTTGGATGTCGAAATTTCTAATCTATTTTGCACCGACCCAAAACTGACTTGATCTGCACGTCTCTTCAACATCTGATGTTTGGTGGGTCGTTTCTCTTGATTGTTTGCTCGCCGGCTCTGATGTTACTCTTTTGTTTTTAACGGAGGAAATATCCAGACTCTATTTAATGTGACAGGACTAAATCTGAAGAGCATTGTTGTAGTTTTTTTTCTGTTTAGGGCTTTAAAGCGAAAAATGAAAGTTGAGTATTCTTTCACGGCTTATTTGGAATAAAGGCTGAGGATGTAATCGGGGTCTACAGACACAGTAAACAGAGAGAGTGTGTGTTTTCCTGCTCCACTCTGTGTTTCCACAGATCTTATTTTCCATCTGTGTTAAACCCGGCCCTGAACATGTCTTCACTGTGAGGAGCAGAGGTTTGAAATGAACAATAAAATGGCATTTTATCTGCATGCAGCCAACACTTGTGCTGCTAACTCTCCCCGCTGGTCACACACGCCCGGCTTTTCATTACTCCGATGACTTCTCCGACAGAGGAGAGCAGCTCATAAATTTTCTGCAGATTGTTTATGGAGGAACAGAGTTCGCCCCAGACACTTGATGCCTCTTTGAATTTCCCTCTCTCTCTCTCTCTCCTCGGATGCAGCCTGCATCCACAGCAGCTGCAGTTCCACCACAGGAGAAAGCGAGTGCATTATGAGGCCTCTATTGACCGGGCTGAGTCCAAAGAAGAAATATCCACCCTCATTAATGTTTCATGGCACTTTAATTGCTCTCTTTACCTCAACATTACCCTGCGCTCTAACAGTGGGTTTTTATGAGCTGATTAATCCTTTTCTCTTACAGTAGGCAGCCATAATCCTGAGCGTGAAAACTCTGCTTTAAAGTCCCGTGAAGCATCTTTAACAAAGCAAACACTAAACAGAGTAAAGTGGGTCAGCGGCTCTGCATGCTCGCGGTCCACAAAAACAGGATTCCTTCGGAGGGCAGCGCCGGGCTCCGAATCATCCGGAGAAACCTCCCTGTAGGTTCGATGACAGCGCTGCAGGAGAGCGGAGAACAACACTCCCCATCGTGTCTCATTGTAGTTTAATGCTGAGTTGTGTTGTTGGAGTCACTGGAGCTGCTTTGCATAACGCTCAGGCTGTAACACAGAGCCATTAAAGCATTAAATATAGAAGCTGCAAATTACAGTTTTCATTATATTGCTCAGTGAAAGGCTGGTGCAAACACAGCAGAGGAGAAAAAACTAATGACGGCACTATCTTCCTGAAAGTGTGGTAACAATAAATCTCAGGAGAGCTTCAGCGTTAATGTTTCAAAGCCGCACATCAACACTGTGACGCCTCTTTTCCCTTTGTGTTCCTTTGTTGGGATTTAGTATTTTCACAGTCTGGGAGTGTGGCTAATCCAGTTTGGCCAACACTGTCTTTTCATGTCTGTTTCCTACGCCCAATCCTAAATCCATCCCAGAGCTTGTGGATTGGTTTTATGTTTTCTTCAATTTGATGGATGCCTCTTTCAGTCGTTCATTTCTGTGTTGTTTTCACACTTTCGTCCTCATTTTCCACCAGTCTTAAGTTTCACACTCTCCAAATGAATTAAGTTTCCTCCATGTTGCTATCAACAGTTTTTTTCTCACATTGTCAGCTGGAGGAGGTGAAACCAAAAAGTACAACAGGTCTGCCTGTTTAGCCAAAATCACATTACCTGTGTCATTTCTAAGAGCTTTTCCTCTGCAGAGCTCCAGTAGCTCATAAGCGATTCGTCTCCGCATCGTGGGCAGAGACAGCGCTGCTCTGCACACTCGTCTTCATGCTAGCCTGCAGCCTAACACTGCCAGTGCAGCAGAAGTGGCAGGTAATATAGGAACATTTCATAGGTTGACCATATTCCCAAAAAGAGGGCGGGACTATGCAGGGGCGGAGTCACAGAGTTGTACGGAGTTAATCTTGAGACTTTTTTGGGTTGAATCGAGTGTAATCCATGTGCTTCTAACTCAGTAAATCCATGCCACATAAACTTGAAACTTGCGTACAAAACCACAGATATTTGAAGGACCCCAAAAAAGAGGACATGTCCGGGCAAAAGAGGACATATGGTCACCCTAGCATTTTAGCTCTCAGGCACGTAAGTCTTTTGGGGGGGGAAGACGAAAGCTAACATCATAATTAGCTTTCTTGAGAGCATTGCAGTCCGCTAAAGCACACGCTTGTTCCGCAATTGTCCTCTCTACTTCTCGGGATCTGGCCTGCTGAGCACTTTGCACAATGTACTTAAGATTTAGGTTAATTAACACAAAAAAAAAAAAAACAACACATTTTTATATTTCAAAGTCAACTTATTGATTGAGTTGCACTGAGTCTGGGAATATGAGGCATGTGGAAATGGTCAAAGAAATGTCATTGCACTTGGCAAAAAAGAACAAATACTGTCATGGTTGCTTTAGCAGGAACCGATTAGTGGCTTTGTGTTTGAAGTGTGTTCCTGCAGGTTTTACACACTTGCTGAAAGTAACTTCCATATGGGCTTCATCATCATCATCATTATCATCATCATCAGCCTGAGCACTCTGCTTTCTGCTGATGTCTGCAGCTGAATGGGTGTAAATCAGTGCGTTGTCATTAGCCCTCCGTAAATCATGGAGCATAGAAACTGGTGCGTGGTCCTCTCATCCTGCGCTCTAGTGTAACTGAGAGTGTGTGCCTGCAGAGTGTGTGTGGGAAGAGGTGGGCCGAGTCTGACACACACAGATACGAGTGAAGTCTAGAAACACTCTGTAAGATACAGACACACGAGCGGGCAGTTATCTGTGAGCGCTGCGTGTCGAGTGAGAGTGCAGAAGGCAGCGGGTACTATGAGCTGACCCGTCACACTGGAACAAGTGAGCTGATCACTGTTTCTATATTCAGAGAGGGAGAGAGCAGAAGCTGTAGTAGTTCAGGTTTCAACAATCAACAGAATGAAAGAGGGATTTAACGCATCCTCCTGTGATCACATCAGCAGCCAACAGGAAAAGTCCGGAGGCTTTAATCCGTGAAATCTCACCTACAGGGGAGATTTTTTTTCTTTACACGGCTCATCCTCTCAAAGGGGAAGTCCTTCTTTTAAAGAGTCGGACCTATTTTTACCAAGCCGCAAACTACGGTGTTGAAAAATTAAGACTTGCAGATGCAGATGTGCCAAAATTTGCAGTTCCTCGGGTGTCCACTAGAGCCTGTTTCTAACAGCAATTCAACCCCAATATTCATATGTCCGATTTTAGAGCAGATTTAAACATGTTTACAGGCCAAAACACAAAAATAAAATCAATTTTGGACTGTACGGCAGTTCAGCAATGATGCTGCTCAATATGAAATACAGGGACGTGGGATTGTGTGTGTGAAGCAAACAAGGTGGTCTTGCTCCTCTTTAGAACTGAGGATGCGTCCATGATCAGCCCAAATAAATGTCAAATTTAGGTAAGCGATCTCACACAACAGTTTTCCTCTTCACGACTTCAGTCCGTCTTTGTTGGGCTCAGGCCCAGAAAAGTCCTGGATTATGTTCATGGCATTGGTACAGTTCTGACCTGCATTTGTGAATGCAGTGACAAACTTTGTTGTCACAGTAATTTTGAGCTTGTTTAGTGATTTCCACCAAAGAGTCACGTCTGTTTTAAGTGCAGCGCCCATAGGCTGTATATACTATGGACAACTTGGTTCAGCCTTCCGCCAGTATACAGATTTGAAGCCAGAAGCTCTCGGTAATTATGCGTTTTCTCTCCATTTCCTGAAACCAACATTGCGCAATAGCGTTGTACACATTTGGAGGGAGAGTCCCTGTGATGACGCTCGGCTCAAACAGCGTATCCCCCGGGTGAGCTGCGCAATCCTCATACGCCCATAGGCTGTATCAGGTGTCAATCATAGAAAACATGAACCCCCCCAATAACTTTTAAAAATGGAGCTGTACAGAAAAAAGAGAACTTGAGCACAAACCAGTCTTACAATAACTACATGTCAACATCGCAAGCAGGGGGGAGAAAAATTTATGTTCTGTGTAATAAATTTCTAAAGTTTGTCCACAGCTCCATAAGCTTTGCTGGCGGAGGCGGGATTTATGACCTATACTGCAGCCTGCCACTAGAGGGTGCTGTTGTCATGGTGGCTTCACCTAGCGAGGAGGCAGACGGTGTCCATTCTATATACAGTCTATGGGAGCGCCACAGCTAGCCAGTACTGGTTGTTTGCTTTGTCAGATTTTTCCAGATTTCCTGATTCACAATTTTGTTTTTAATTTTATGCTGAGGCACAATATTGTAGAATTTGAACTATTTGCTCACGGAGTTGCAAACTTCTCGCCATCTTTCCTTCTGAGAGACTCAGCCTCTCTGAATGTCCCAGTCATGCTGCTAAGCTGTTGTAAACTGACCTCATTAGCATTTCAAATTGAAGTAGCTTAAATTGCTGTTGTTATTGTTTTGTTATTGCTCACTTATTTAGGATTCAGCTCTAAGTTGTTATATACTGCCTGGGGCTTTGGTGTGTGTTTCCTCACTGTTTTTAACTCTGTCCAAACTTTTTCAAACATGCTGCTGGCATCAACTTTAGACTGAGCTTACTTTTTCAAATTACAGCATATCGATATATTGTTATTGCTCTATATTAAAAATCAAATATGGGATTTTAATGATATGCAAAAAATAGAAAATGTGTCTTAATTGGCTCTGGGATTGTTAGTTATGCCATTCCACTCTGCTCTGAAACTTCTTGTCCATTGCGCTCTTAACATAACTTGCACTATTTTGTTTTCAGATGTGTTACTTTTAATTAATCCTGGTAAAACAAACTACTTAAAGAGACGAGCCACTTAGAGACTGCAGTCACTTTGTGTTTTTACCGCCTCTTGTGTATTTGTTGTGGAGTTTTTTAGGCTCATTGAAGGTTCTGCAAATTAGCCCAGAGGCAAAAAGAGAACTGCAGTGTGTGGCAGCAGTTTACTGTCAACACGCTTTCCTGAGACAAATAAACTCCACACGCTTAAGTTAATTGGACTCATATTAATGCTGAAACAAGATAATGAAGCTTTTTTTTTTAATTTGCAGACGTAAGTTTGTTTGAGTGCTGGAGCTGTAGGTAATATAGAGGAAATGTTTAATTGGTTTATCTACATTTCTGGTAACTTTAAGGCTTCTTGTGTGTTTAGCTGCAGACTTCCTGAGCTGAGCAGTTTGCAAAATGAGTGTCTTAAAACTCACAAAATCTGCTTCTTTACAGATTTGAATGTAAGTAAGCAAAGACTTATTAATCACTTAACCTGGTGTGTAATATGAGCCCAGTTTTTGTAGAGATATGAGGAAAAACACATCTTATATTTGAGTTGATACCTCAAAACTCCACCTATAAATCTTAATTAAAGGCACAAAATAAGGACTTAACTATAATTTATAAAACCACCTGCAAGAAGCAAGGTGCAATACTTCCTAATTAATTTTTACTCATTGCAATCAATTAATTCTTTATTTTTGGCTCATGGATTCTTAAAGTAAGATTTATAAGCAGATGTTTGAGGTCATTGTGGCTCACATTATTTTTAACGGAAATGAGAAAAATACACTCAGAAAGATTTGAGTTTTTTTTAAGAGAACAGACTTTTCTACAGCTGCAGAAATGTTGTATCACATAAGTCTTCCAGCATCTCACAGAGATCTAACAAGACTTCACAAAAAGAAAATTTGATAAATTTACCTGTCATGAGTCTAAATAATCACAGCTTCCCACGTTTTTTTTTTTTCCTTCCGCTTTTTGCAGCATTGTGGTCTCTGTTTAATAGTTTGGAGTAGCGTTCAGACTCTAACTTTGAAGTGTGTTGTTTGAAAGAGGGAGCAAGCGGTATTTGGAGTGCTTCGCCCTCCGCTGCAGTTTGAGCGGCCTGTTATCTCTTTTTGAGGAGAGCGGAGCGTGAAGGTCAGCGAGGCGAGGAGACGTGATCTATACTGCGGAGAGGAGGTCAGGGGCTGTTGCTGCTGCTGCTGCTGCATTACACAGAGCTGCTCTCTAACTTTGTTTTCGCTTTTTTTCCTCCGTTTTATCTGAATTGATTTCTATTTAAACAGGTGATACCTCTATTAATATTAAATGAAGGTCTGGAGCTGCAGACGGCTGCAGGGTTTAGAAGAGTGTGTGGATTGTGTCTCTAAATCCAAAGCCAAGATTATTTTGTTTACGAGACTCAAAGAAAGAGGAAATATTGCTTTAAGTGAGGTGAACCTTAGGTAAAATTGTTTGCTTTAATAATTTGTCTCATGTTGCAAAGTCTTTTTTTAAAGTTACATCACATACAGTCTGCACTTTCTAAAATCTCTGCAAATACTCTGATGGCCAATGCTAACAAGAGATAGAAATGATACAATAAGACAAGGACAGAGAGGTAAAGGTCTCTTCTCTCTCTATTTATGTATGATGTGCACTTGTGTCCTCTCTCTTTGGCTGACCCCAAAATGGTTCCTGTGATGAGGAAGTCTTAAAAGCATCCAGAGGAGACCAGGACAGAGGAAAGAGGAGGCTCCTGGGGGAGCTGTGAGTACGGATACATTGGTGCCGCATTTTGAAAGTTCACTCTAGGAGCAAGCTGGGTCACACTTCATTTCACCGAGGTTAAAATAAACTAGTTCACCTTCACAGTTAATTTTGAAATTTTTTGAACTGAGCCGATGGTCGAACTAACAACCGTTCACACTCACTGGGGACTCAGGGTGACCTGTTTACCTGACAAGTGTGTATTTGTACTGTGGGAGAAAACCAAAGTACCTGCAGAGAATCCAGGTATGCACTGGGAGAACATGCAAACGTGACATAGACAGACTCTTGCCTGGCAGGGATTTGAACCAGGAACCCTCTAACAGTGAGGCAGCTGTACTAACCACAGCACCACCATGCAGCCCTGTAACTATAGACACATTAATTTGATTACCATGTTTTTCAGACTATAGGGCGCACTTAAAATCCTTAAATTTTCTCAAAAATTGACAGTGCGCCTTATGCGAGATTACTTGTTGTGCTCAAAAATCTGTTGCCGTGTGTAAGTAAGACTTTGGTAAGCAACGATGCTGCTCCACTCCGTGTCACTACCTGATCGGCCCCGTAACAGGACCCCTGAGCGGTCTACAAGACTGCCTGACTGTAATGTCTAAACTAGAAGTGCATTCATGTAAGGGAGCCCGGAGTGCGCGCTAGCAACAATAAACCGATCATGATAATGCACCTTATGTGTGATCAAAGACACGTTAATTCACAGTGCGTCATATAATTTCTGGTTTATCGCCAGAAAAATACGGTATAAGGTGTTATGACAGTGGGGTTTTTTTTATTATTTGTTTGTTTTTTTACAAGAAATTAGTCATGAACTCTAACAGCTGTGTGAGGTTTCATGGTACAGATAATTTACCTGCAGTTTAATAAATTTAGATTCCTAAGATTAATAATTAAAAGACAGATTAAGAAGTTAAAGTAACTGTGTTATGATTCACTAAGCTTAAAATACAAAGCCTGAATTGATTTACTGGTTAACCTGACAGGGACAAATGCATTACACATTGCTTTATCTTTATAGAGTCCCATCTCATACATACAGGTTTCTATCCATGGCTAATTTGCAACCCCTGTTCATTTTAGGCTATTGAGTTTAAAACACTGCGACCATTAAAGATACATGTATGCAATAAAATGTGAGACTTGTGTGAGAACTCCTAAACCTGAGATATCTGTGCATGTTTAGGTGAAAGAAAGTGAAAGTTTTAAAATAGATCTGAAATGAGGGGCCTCTGAGCATGAGTGCTGTGGGTTTGACAGGCGGGACAGCCGGGCAGTTCATCTTTTTACTGGACATCACTTCAGATTGACACTGGGGAAAGATGGATTTCTCATTCTCCTCTCACTTTCTCTACTCTTGTATTTGTCTTTGAATTTCTCACTTAAGAAGGTAGTACAAGAAGAGGGAAATAACAGCACAGGCAAATCAACAACCTGAAGACCACCTTGTAGGTTCTCTTAAAACCATAAAATATGTTTAAATCATACCTGCAGGCTGATCTGATTAGAAAATGACTGCAAAAATGAAAGCAAAAAAGATCATCTCCACCCTCCTCATCATCTCCACTCTCCTCATGAACAGGTGCATTGAAACCATGCAATCATGTGAATAACCTGATGACATGCATGCACCAGAGAGCGAGACCTGCTCTTTTTCATGCAAATGAGCCTAATTGCACAGTTTCCATTCTCTGGTGCATGGATGTATCCTGCTCTCCCAGCATGCTTTGTTCGGCGAAGCAATCCACTCTTCCTTCATTGTGAATTACAAGCAGCAGATTCACTCTGCGTATCCACAGTTTCTGCATGTGATTGTTTCCTGCAGAATAAATCAAATATAAGGTATTGTCTTGCTTTTATTTCAGCGAGGAGTTTCCGTCTAAAGGGTGTCTCACTGCTCTTGATTGTGGGTTTGCGCTGAAAGGCTGCTGCCTGTCCTCCAACGCTGCTGTCACACCACAGAGGAATCTCAGAGTCTATTCAGAGAGCCGAGCAGGAAGGTTAATTAGTCGGACAATAGAAAGCAATTTCATGATGTCACTTCTTCTTCCAAGAGGAGTTATTAATCTTCAAACAGAGGGCTACAGGCAGAGAGAGCAGGGTTTTGCCTCTCCTCTCACACAGAGCCGGGGAGACGCTGAGGCAGCTGAGGGGTTATTAACAGGAGAGCCATGAGGGGGGTTTTCTTCCTCTTAGTTAGCTGAATAAGCTGATCTTTACTTTGAGTGGCTCTCATGAAAACACCACCCTGTCACCTGTGATAAATGAGACGCTGTAAACCAGAAAAACACAAGGTGGAGAGAGAAATGGGCATGAAGTGGCGCATTTCGGAGTGGTGGTTATGACTTTAAACAGCCATAAATATGTATATGTCAAAAAGTCACACACACACCTTTACTGACTATTGATAATGTAAACGCAAATGTTTTGGACTTGTACTGGACTAAACCAAACCCATTGATGAAAAAGCACACAGCTCCATTTTCCACAGCACCTAACTTCATCAACAGCACATATAGGGTGCGAGCCATAGTACTAGCCACCAAACATCTTTTTAACTTTGCCTGATTTCCTTAGCAAAGAGACTAAACACAACTCACCCACTCTCTTCCATCAGCTGCTTATTTGTAGCAAGACCTCAGGCCAGTCCGTTACAGACTACAGTGGGGTGACGCAGCTCAAGGAAGAACACTTATCATTATTTCTTCATGGAAATACAATCAGACCGAGATGCTAAGGCAGAAGAAGTACTGCGTCTGCAGTACAAAATGATTAATATGGTGATTATTACTTTAAGGAAATGATTAAAAAATTATCATAAATGTTCTTCCTTGAGCTGCATCACCCCGCTGAAGTCTGTACACAAACAAGTGGCTGCTGGAAGAGAGTAGGTGAGTTGTATTTAGTCTCTTTGTTAAAGAAATTAGGCAAAGCTAAAAGATGTTTGGCGGCTAGTACTATGGCTGGGACCCTATATGTACTGTTGATGAAGTTAGGTGCTGTTCTGAACATTATTTGTGGCTATAGAGTGGCTTTTAGGATGAGGTTTCCTCAGACCACTGTGTATTGCTATTGTGTGGTCGTTACTGAAGTTGGTATAACTAGAGAAGCAAGCGGTCTGCAACATTCAGGGGGTGTCTTACTCAGTGTTCTGGTGTGTTTCACCCTTAATTAATTTTATGCCTGAATATCCCTTTAAGACAGCAGGAGGAGATATGTCATTAGAAAACACAACATACAAATGCAAAGGACAAATCAGCAGATGTGAAAGTTGGACAGTGTTTTTCACAGAGTAAAAACTGACACAAACTGACAGTGTCTGTGGAGCTTAAATCCTCAAATTCTGCCAAAATTTGCACCATTGAATTTGGAAAAGTTGGCTGCAAATTTGTACATTTCATTTCATTTTCCTGAAATTGGAACTCTTTTTTTTTTTTTTTTTTTTTTTCAGTTTATTTTCCAAAAATTTGACTGCAATCATCAGTCAACTCTGAGTTGCAGGTTTAAACCTGTTTTTTTCCATGTTTCTCTCTAAAAAACCACAGGTGAGTCACATTTTCAAGCGTGTACTTCTGGGACTTCTGAGGCATGCAGAGTTTTTTTTTAATTTTGTTTTGGTGAATCATCCGGTACAGATTTATGTCCTTGCGAGCTCTTAAGTACTCCAGCTGTCTGCCAGTTACAATAACATCCTCTCTGCAGACTTTGAACTGACTTTCTAGTTTAGCATTAGTTTGGACTTCGATGAAGTCGACTTGAACTCACAAAAAACAGAAATTGCAAAACTAAAGCTTATTTTTTGCTTATTTTTTAAAGTTTGTCCTTCCTGGATTACACCTCGGTTTCTCGTCATGTAGTGAATTATATTAAATAATGATATTTTATGATTTGAAGCCTTAAGCCATGTCCTAATATTTATGTATTCAGTGAACATGATCGCTGTGAGTGACAAAAAACTTGGAGCCACATGGATGGATGAACTAGACACATAGATTCAGATCAGAGAGACTCTCTCATCAAACTGATTTATTGTCAAAGTAAACGTTCATCAAGTTCTGTTTTTTTAATTTGAAGTTAGAATTATTTTAGTTTAATATATGATGAGCACCTTTTGTTTTTGCACACAAACTGTCAGCAGTAATGTCTTTCAGGGAAATTCTCATTAGACCAGGGGTCCCTAACTATCCAGCCTTGGATTGATACCAAGCCTTAGGTCATTTCTAACCAGGCTGTGAAAACTCGGCTGGAATCATGATGCCTGATGTAACTGTCAGATATGTCCTGCAATGTGTTTTGTTATTTTTCTTCCTGGGAATCATTAGTGTCTTTTTTATATATACCCCAAAGTTAAGTGGGCAGTCACGATGAGTAGTTATTCAGTGCTGAACCATCACCTAACTATTGTCCTAAAGTTTGACCGTCTAAAAGTAGTGCACAGCCAGGGGTAAACACAATAAAAACGATAAGGTAATGAAACTAATTATGAGCTTTTCTAAAGAATTTGTTGAAAAGTTACTCCCAACTATCCATTAACTAATATTAATAAGCAGGTATAGCATGTTTTATACTTTATAAATACACATTATTTATGTGCCTCATTCACTGGCTAACTTGTGCTAAACTAATGTTTAACTAAAAGCTGATTCATCATTTGTTAACCAGTGACTTATCTCATACATCTGTAAATCAGTTGTAAACAAATACTAACCCGTAGTTGTAACCTCAGTACCCTGTAATCCTAAACAATTTACCTTCTCAATCTGTAAAATTATAGTTAAAAAGAAATTACACTTTATTTTTTACCCAATAACTTTGCAAAATTTGTGTATCTCATATGCCTGTTTATTATAGTTTACTTCCGGTTTAATCATAGTTGGTTATAAATTTGTGACCTGGCCACTGTGCACTATGGTTAATTTAAGTTAACTAGAAGTTTGTTACACAACTATAATCCAGAAGCCAGTATGTACTCCATCTACCCATTAATATATAATCAATCCATGTTAACTTGTAGTTTACTGAATACTTACACAGCAACTTTGCAAAATCCATGTATCCTTTCTCCATGTTTATTTTACTTATATCAACTAGTTAGATACAGATTTGCTACCCGGTAACTTTGCAAAATTTGTACATGTCATGTACCTGTTATCTTTTGGTTAACTTCTGTTAATGAGATGTTATGCTGTGTTCGAGTTACCTCAGAAGTCAGAAGTCTGAGCTGAAAATGACGTCACACCCAAGTTATCAGCGCAACTCGGAAAGAAGCCAAATTGGAGACGAAAACAAGATGGCTACATCTACGAAAGTTATTTAAGCGCTTGCCTTGTGCAGTATAAGCAAGGACAAGGTAAGCGCTAAAATAACTTTCGTAGATGTAGCCATCTTGTTTCCGCCTCCGATTTGGCTTTCTTTCGACTTGGTAATTAAAGCACTGGTAACTCGGGTGTAACGTCATTCCCAGCTCGGACATCTGACTTCCGAGGTTACTGGAACGCAGCATAACTTCTGTTAATGAGATGTTAGTTATATGATTGTTACCCAGCAACCATGGAATATTTGTGTACCCTACCAACCACTTAACTTAAGGCGAACTTATGTGAACTGGTAGTTAGTTACACAATATTAACCAGGAATTGTGCAATATGTGTGGGTCTTATCTACCTTTTATCTTACGGTTCACTTTTGTCAACTAGTTGGTAGTTGCAAAATTATTACCACTAAAAAACAAAGGTGCTGAAAGCTATAGACCTCATCTAAAAACTTTTCAACATCAGTTTCTGAAGTTGTAAAGCATGCCTGCAACCCCAAACCCCACGTTTCAGTGCATTTTCGTGAAAAGTTGCAGCAGCTCTCCTCTCGGCAGAAAGGTGTTTAACAGGCGCAGCAGAGCCATCACTCTCTTCTGATCCGCTCTCTTCTCTAAACCTCAACCTGCAGCCGTCTAAACCTCATCTCCTCTCTGCAGGTCACACCTTCTTAGGCTAACGGTCTCTATTACACTCTGCTCTCTGCATTCATCCTCTAAAGTGCAAACTCTCTGTAACATCCTGCAGACTCGGCAGCCCTCTGAAGACGATAGGCAGATTTCAGCCCCAAAAGCTCCTTAAAAGCTGCTCGCAAAACCCGGCAGCGGCAGAATACTAATAGGAGCTAGTCCGCCGCGTTTCAAAGATTAGATGAAATATCAGAGCCTGATCCTGCTTCTGGAGCCGCTCTCCTGCAGACAAACGCTTCAACACGCAGACTTACACTCAAATCTCCTGTCTGTGCATAAGATAAGTCTGATTGTCACGTCTGAGCTGAATCCTCTGCTGCACAAATCCTCAGAGCAGCAGGATATACAGAAAATACATGAGTGTATGAAAGTGTCATCTTACCTCTTTTAACAAGAGCTTTCTGTTCTTTAAGAGCTGAATTTGAGCTGATAGCAGACATTATGAGCAGTATTTAAGAATTAAAGACTGTAATAACGCCATAAGGTGCAGCCTTTAATCTTCATTAGTGTGAAAAGCCCCAGAAACAGAATTAATTATCTGACACTCCCTCCTTCAGTGGATGTGTAAGTGGAGGATTCATGTGATCATTAGCGTGGAGTCAGATAGAAGCGCCATCACGCCAGAGGCAAGCTGAGCCATTAACTCATCGCGCTCAGAGCTCATACATGACACATACAGCATGTTATCAATGAGAGGCTGGGTGAGCTCGTCCATCTGACGCCTTTGAACATCCAGAGGAGACGATAAGAATCAGAGGATCACAGAATAGAAAGATTAACGGGAGTTAAACTCTGCTCTCGCTGGTAAGATGAAACCAGCTTCACTGTTCATCATCACGTCTCTGATTGAGTCGGGGACCTTCTTAGATACACCAGAGAAAAGAGAAGAGATAGTCCTTTAGTGTTTGCTTCAGTCAAAATCACTGGTATGAGTAGAAACTGGCGTCTGTACACTCAAGATCGACCCATTCAACTTTCATATTTGTTACTTAGTAATAAGTGGGAGTCGGCTCACTGTGGTGTAGATGAAAACTGTCAGCTGACTGTCTGATTTCACTTAGGGTTGGGTTTTGGGTTGGTACGTTTACATGACACTTAAGAAAACCAAATTATTGCCTTACTTGGTGTAAGACCGGACAACTTAAGAGCAAGTTAACACCTTAATCCAGCTATAATCGGAGTTTGAGAACCCCTATTAAGACACCCAGATAATGCGATTGGAAGTTGATTTTCTCTACCATGTAACCAGAGTAGTCGGAGTATGATCCACCACGCCCCCGTATCCCCGGGCAAAAACACTACAAAAGAAGTTGCATGCACCTTATCTGCAGAAAAAGTAGCGCGTACATCACGTACGACAAAAACAATGCTGTACGATGCTCCGTCTTCTTGCTGTTGTTGTTGACAGTTGTATGGGGTCAACCGGTCAGGCACCACTGAAAAGACCCATATCGCCCCTTAGTTTTAGGGAGGAGGACATGTTCAAGTCAATAATTTGATTTTCTCAGCTGCATGTATACGCGGACGAGGAGAGAAGTCCGATTCTGCGAGAAAAAAAAAACGAATTATGAGCTTAGTCCGATTAAGCATTGAGTGAAGTCGAGCGAGAATTGAATTATAAACAGAAGCATGTCTGCCTCCACTCCTGTAAGTGGCGACATACCCCCACATAGCAAAACATGCTTGCAAGAAACTAATGGTATTTCAGTTTAACAACGCTATTCAATTTCTGGTTTATAGTCTGGGTTAGCACAGCTTGGGCTAGTTTTAGTTTTAGTTTGATTGAGCCGTATACATGCAAGAGGAAATCTACCCCTGACTGCATTCTCGAGGAAGGTGACCAGACGCCCCCGTATTGGATGACCTGTTCCCGGAAATCTCCCTGATTCAAGCGTTTCATGGATGAGATCAAAAATGTTGCGTGTAGACTAGAACAACGGTTATTCCAGTAGCCAAGTAGGTAGGAGGCGTGAGTAAGCAGTTCTGAAGAACAGTTTTTATGGGAGGTTTTTACAAGGGGCGTGCGCTGCTACTAAGTAGTACCAAGATGTTGCCTCTGATCACACAGCCCTTGCCCGGATTAGTTATGGATGTCCCCAAATTTCATTACAGAAATCTGGTCACCTTATTATCGAGGTTTTGCCCATTGTCAGCTATCCTGTTGTTACCTGTTGGCTTATGTGTGGAGTGGGCTAAAAGGGTTAAAGAAGGCACGGAAGTAACCAAGAGTGTTATGTCTGGTTCCTGCAATAAGAGAAACAGGAGGTGCATGTAGTTGAGGACGGCAAGCCCAAATCAGCTTAAACATGTAACAAACAAGCTTAAATAACCTGCACCTCATTACTGGAAGTATTTAAAAGAAAATTTTAAGAAAAACCGAAAGCAACTGATGATAATTTGGCAACACTGATGAAGATGAAACTTAAAGTATCAGTCCTGCTTAGTTTAATTGCTGCTTTAATAAATTGATACTACGGGAAATTTTTCTCTTGATTATTAAATTATATTCTAATTAAACATCATATCAGAATTTTAGCTTAATTTTTAAGTGGTGGTGGTTTCAGGATTCTGCAGAGTTTATATCAATCTTTGTCGTATTATACAGTATTTTACTCCTGTCTGCCAAGGTCAAACAACCTGCTCCATACCAAGGGGTTTGAAAAGCCAATCTGTATTCTGGAAGGTTCTTTGTTCACCTTTGAGAGTGCCCTTCAAAATACGCAGTGCCTTTACAGTCTCTGCAAACCCTGAACCCCCTCATCACCGTCAGAAGTACATCTTCTTTACAGTCTGGGGATCGTATATGTGCAAACACAAAGCCAGGACGGACGGCGCTTTCATGTGAGATCGTCTGTTCTGTGAATCCTGGAGTCAGTCTAAAGAAGGTGTTTTAATGAGGACTTGTAGACTCTAATTTTAAACCCACAGATGAGTCAGAGAGACGACCACATGCTGTCTGTGACCAGCAGGGAGAACTCCCACTATCGGCTCCATATAATGAGAAGGACTCTTGTTCTGTCAACGTGAGCACAGGGAAGCATATTACTCACCAACGTTTGAATCATCATTCCTCATTGGGTTATTGCACAAAATGTAGAACAGATGAGCGGACCACCTGAACACATGCTGGCCCATCACGTGCACAAAAATGAAAAATGTGGTCTGACAGATCCCAAAATCTGCAAGGTGAGTTTAGGATAAAAACACAAGTAATGTTCAAACAAGAGTCATTCAGGTGGGAGCCAAAATAGGCGGTTAATAATACAGAGCATTTCACCTCTTTCTCCATGACTGAAATCTGTTAAAGTTAAATCGACTCTTGGCTCAAACTGAGGTGGTTTGAGCTTTGAACGCAGTATTTGATTTACTGTTTTTCTTGTGGGTGACCTCAGAGCTCTCCTTGTGGGTGTGAAATGTTTGGTCTGCTGTTTTCAGACAGTTAATGATGTCTCTGTGCTCCCTCAGTCTGTTCTCCAGGGTCTTATTAAGACCTGTCACAGGTGAAACCCTCATCAGTCATACGTCTACATCAGTCCTTGTCTCAGGGGACACCCTGAACAAGATTATTTTTGAAATACCAATCTAAATCTTGTTCCCTGTCTCAAAGATCCCCATGGAGATAGACCTAGTATCCTCATTTTCACCTTTCAGTATTTCTGAGTGGAACACCTGTAGAGCAGCTTTGCAGGATTTACAGCTCGTGAAAATCTTATACTGGCATCTGTGAAAATCCTCATTTCAGCACTCTGCAGCCTCTTACAAAAGGGCTTCATTTTGGCTGCTTTTTTAATGATATAAAGCTGGACTCCACTTTAGGGTGTTACTTTTTACACAACGCTGTAGTCAGGAAAGTTGTGCCCATGCTAGCCCGCTATTTGGCCCATTAGACATACATTTGCTATAGCAATATGAGTTTGTGGTTCTGAGCCTTCAGCAGCTCCAGGTCTCGATGACAGTTGAGACTCTATTCCAGCTTTCTCTGTCTTTGTTCTCAAAGGAGTCATGACTGAAGCAGCCAGTGAAATAGCTAAGTTGCTGTCCTGAAAAAACTTGAAAACTTTCTGCTTTTTTAGTGCCTTCGACTTTGGTAAAACAGAACAGCTGTGGCTCTGCTTTCCAACTTTCCGAGACATCCTGAATCAACACAGTATGGAGCAGAAGGAAAGCCATATGACTGTATGAGTTATGTTGAGGCTTTGTTTGATGTTATACCCACTGAGACAATTTCTTCTGCACAGCAGAAACAAAGTCTTGCCAAATAAACCTTCAGGTGAACATTTATACACGTAGCACAGCAGCATAACTTCATGAATTTTTTAAAACTCAGGAGACGCAAACAGTGTTGGACGGGATTAGACCAGGGGCAAGGGGCACAGACCAGGGGCTTGTGCCCCTTTCCATCAAAGACGGGCAGGCTATTCTGACTGATTTATGCTACTGGATTATGCATAACGGATTCTCTTGAGCCTTCATTAATATCTGTGGGCAATCTGGTCGGTGGCATCGAGACTTTGAGGATTGTTAAAAAAATATCCCTAAGTTGTATGATAGCAAGTGTGTATGTGTGTGTCTGTTTCTGTGTGTGTAAGAGTGTGTGCAAAAATAAGCTTGATGATGGTTCAGGCTGTAGTATTTGACTGTGCAGGGTTGTGGTGAAGCATGTGTGTGAGGAGATTGCAATCACGTTTTCCTTGTCTTCTGGAATCCCTGGATCACTTTCACACCAACTAAAGTAGACAAGGCTAAAAATAATGCTGCGTTCCAGTTGTACTTGGAAGTCGGTATTTCTGAGCTCCGAGTCGGAAATTCATCTGGAACGCCCCCCTGAAGTTGGATCTCGAACTCAGGATGTCGGACAATCCTCACCAACCCCGACTTGACGACAACTTCATTATCCAAGATGGCAGCACAGGGCATCAACAGTAAAGAGTAACAGTGAAAGCTCTCATAATGTATTATTAATTAGCTTTTCTGTTTTGTTTTTGTGAAATTAAATAAGTGGTATATTTTGTACTGCCCAACGACTAACTGTGAACACAGTTCTGTTGTGTTTGTGTGAGTAAAATACTGTGTTATAGGATGTTTACAACTGGTATAGCTAACAACAACTGCCAATGGCCAACGACAGCTGACAGTTGTAAACAACAGCTAACAACAGGTAACTGTAGGTGTCCATCTTGGTTTTCCGACTTGTTAACTGGAACACCGTCAACTCGGGTGTCACGTCATTCCCAGGTCCGACATCTGACTTCTGAGGTAACTTGAACGCAGCATAATAATGCAATGTTAAAGCTGACAGAGTCAAACCAGAGCAAAATACTGATACAACTTGTTCATTTGGGGGCTGTCTGTTTCACTAAAGTGCCCTCTAAATATCAGAAAAGTGTAGCATCACTTATTTTAGACTGCAATAACTTTGTACAGACACTTTGTGTATCCCCAGCATGGCACTGACCTCACCTCATTTCACCAACACATCCAAGGGTGCTAACATTGGTACAAGTTAACTTGCCTTAAACACAACTTGGCGAATGAGTTGGGTGGAAAATAATGATGGCACTTGAATGGCAATGAC